GTTTAGAAAAAAAGTAAGGCCGTGGCCAAAACGAAGGGGAACCCCCCCCCCCCCCCAAAAAAAACCCACAATATCTGGCATTTGAACTCTTCATCGGGGGAAAAAACTCCTCAAGCCAATGTTTCCCTGGAGAGGAAATCTTCCTTTTCAGCGGGAAGGCAGAAGCCCGGCACAAGAGGCATGGTGTCTCTTGTACAGCTCTCCTAGGTTATAAATGGAGACTTCATCATCTTTAGCTGCTTGTCGTTGCCTGCAGAAGAAATCTCACAATAACATCAAGATTGGCAGTGTAATCTCCCCTCTGCCAAGCTCCTTTTTTTCTTTCCATAAATAGGACGAGAATCCTTATGATATAAAAGGCAGCTCATCTTGATCTTGAGACATCGATGCCCGGAGTCGTTTTCCAAGTAACAGCAGACATGCCAAGGGACGCAATAAGCACACAGGGCTTCTCTGCGCAGCCCTGCATCTGACCAGAGTCACTTCACCATAGTTTGATGGGTCAGAAATTCATGGTGTATATGTGGAATAGTGGGTCCTTGCCGCTTTCCCAAGGGAAGAGCGCACAGAGATGTGGCAGCGCCTGCTGACTGCGAGGTGCTTCATGAGGCACTGAGCGTGGTGACTAAGTACTATTTTCTTTTGCTTCTCGGAGTGAGTTTAGCCCATTTTTGTCTGTTTAAATGATGTGCTGTTAGCAGCCAGCATAGTGCCAGTGCCCTGGCAGCCGCTGCTCAGCTCCAAAGGGCAGAAAGTGCCGAAGCTCAGTAAGAAATATGAATTTATTACCGTAGCTGGGACAACTATTTATACTCTCATGGTTGCTCGTGAGGACTGTGTCCCCAGGGCTGCAGGCCCCACCAGTCCCCAGACCCTCCCACCCTGGGGACCCCTCTGAGTCCCCAGCTCCTCTTGCAGCAGCGATGTGATGGGCACTGCCTGGGCCCCCCGCAACGCCATGTACCCAGCAGGCTGCTCCCAGGGAGAAATCAGGCTTAAAACTGAGTTGCAAACAGTAAACAGGGTCTATTTTCCTTACAGCATTAACAAGGCATCCTACCAGGCTCTGCAACCTCCTGGGCAACCATAAGGGATAGACAATTTTTTTTTCTCCTTTTCTTGCAAACTAAAATTTATGATGGGTTTTCAACCTCCCTGGCAAAAGGCAGGGCTGCTCAGCAGAAGTCTGATGGATGCAAATTAAAGATCCTGTCCTGGCACATGTAGCTTTGCAGGCTTCCATCTTCCCAAAGGAAAACGAGGAGCATAGGACTGCTGGGCTAAGGAGCTGCGCTGGATTTTGCACAGGTGCTGCCTGCTCCTCCCGCGGGCGGCGGGGCCGTCAGCAGAGCAGGGTTCAATTACCCAGTTTTGTAACTTTATCCCCAGCATTCTAATATTCCTAGTAAAAAGAAGCAAGACCTAATATATGCTTTTAGTAAACAAATCTAAAAATATATTTAATTTTTTAGTGTATTTTTTGACTGTGCTGCCCTCTTCTGTTAAATTTTAAAAGAAATATTATCATAAGGCGGCAGTAGGTAATAGTCAGTTGGTAAAAGCCATTTTTAAACAACTGCAGGATAAAGTTCTTTATATTCGCACTGTCAATGCTTTTTCATCCGTGCTCAAGCAAGAGAACACAGCAGAAGTAGTGTTTAATGCAAAGCTGCTCAGGCTTGTCGGTGTACTTGGCATTTATAAGTGGCTTTGGGAGGATTTGGTGCTGAAAAATTGGCCTCTGTGCAGTTCTCATCCTTCTTTTTTCCCCTCCTTTAGAAATTGTCCGAGCGATGACACATGTAATAAATCAAGGCATGGCGATGTACTGGGGAACGTCACGCTGGAGCGCTATGGAGATCATGGTAAAGTTGATTTTTGGGAAAGCGTTGACACTTGGTAATTCTGCTTCCAAGCTGCAGAGTCTGCTGAAAGCCATGCTGGGAGCTGAACCACAAACGTGTCTGGGCTGGGGATGTTTGCGTTTTACTCCATCCAGCATCTTGTCACCTAAAATAATTTTAAAACCTGATCCAGAATGAGCCCGATGTTAATTAGAAGAAGATGGGCTGATCTAGTGGTTTGGGGGTTTGGGTGTCTTGGCTCATTTAATTGGGGTTTGTTTCATTTTGGTTTTATTTGGCTGACTTCAAGACTTTTGGTAAAGAGCCTTTTTGAGGTCCGTGGCCACTGATGTTTAAGACATGGCTCCCAGCAGCAGCTCTGTGACCCGTGGGGCCGTCGGAGCTGCTGCTGCAGTGGGAATGGTCCCCGCGCGTGGCACTGCTCTGCATGTGCCGTGTCCAGAGGCACAGATGGGAAATGTTCCTGCTTGGCCGCAGGGACCTGGTAACAGGCTTTACCTGAAAAACCCCCACACTAGGGGAACCAGCATCCTGACAGCTCATCCTTAATGCTTTGTTTAGAAGCATTTGGTTTTGCCCAGAGAGGTGGCAGATGCCCCGTTCCTGGAAACATTCAAGGTGAGGCTGGACAGGGCTCTGAGCAACCTGATCCAGTTGAAGACATCCCTGCTTATTGCAGGGGGCTTGCACTAGATGACCTTGAAAGGTCCCTTCCAACCCAAACCATTCTATGATTCTCAGAGATGCCAGGAGCATCCTGCTGATCCCTGCCTTTTGCATTGGGGTCAAAACACAATAAACAAGCTTGACACTGACCATCCCAGCTGGGAAGTTGTTTGGCTTGTCGCTGTGCTGGCGCTGAAGCAGCTTTGGGCTGGAGGAGGCAGAAGGTGGGTACGTGCCCTGCTGCGGGCGCAGGGGCAGCGGGGAAGCAGCGCAGGCAGGGATGGGGCCGCATTTCTGCTTCTGCAGGGAGCCGTTCACAGGGATGTGCATGGCCTTGCTAAGGGATAGCAAAACTTGAGTTTGTTGGCACCTGCACTCAAGGAGTGTTGGCTGGCAGGTTATGTCCCACAAGATGCTTTTACTTAATGAAATATTTTATCTACTGATTTCTTTCCTCCAGGAAGCCTACTCTGTAGCCAGGCAGTTTAACATGATACCACCCGTTTGTGAACAAGCTGAGTACCACCTTTTCCAAAGAGAGAAAGTGGAGGTTCAGCTGCCAGAATTATATCATAAAATAGGTAAGACTGAGACTGTTGTGCCTTTCAGCTATTTCATTTGCAGAAAGAAATACAGAGCAGGCTGACCTGGGGCTTTAGATGGGAATGGCGCGCTCTTCTCCTGGATCTGAAGGGGACAGACAAGTATGTGTCTAAGGACTTAAAAGAAAAACTGGCTTACTGCGTCTCTGATAGAAATAGGTGCTAATTGCCATGGCTGCTGCTGGCTCTTTGAGACTCAAGGCAGCAGGGGCGTAGGAGGTGCCCAGGCTGAGAAGCAGGAGTTCAGGTACTTTGCTGCAGCAGGAGCAGCCGGAGCCAGGACGGGGCTGGAGGCTCTCACAATAAGGTTTTGGATGAATAAGCTAGTCGATGTCTTCCTTAAGGGCATCAGCAGCATCTTGCTGGAAGACACTGACTGAACATCACTGACAGCGGCAATAGAAACAAGCAGCAATTGTTTTGCTTTTTTTTTTTTTTTTAACTGAAAGTCCTATTTTTTGATACAACTCTGATTTCTCCCAGTCCCCTAAAATCTCCTTCTCTGCTTTTTCTGCAGGGGTTGGAGCAATGACGTGGTCTCCACTAGCCTGTGGGATCATCTCAGGGAAATATGGCAACGGGGTCCCTGAAAGCTCAAGGGCTGCACTAAAGGTATTTTTTGTTATGTGTTCGAGAAAAGAAGATGTGCTGTTTTAGTGAGGGTAGGAAAATAACAAAGGGAAAACAGATCCCTCATGAGAAGGCTGGCCTGTGTGCTACTGTATTGATAGATCAGCTCAGTTTCTCTGGCAACCACACTCCAACGTGCGGGAGAATCTGGGTTATAAAGATGCTTCAGGTTCCCCACCGCAGTGAGCTGATGGCTGTGAGCTGGTTGTGGGGCAGCACAGGACTGGAGCCAGGCTCTGGGGGGCTCTGCAGAAGGATGCTGTCGCCACCCTTACATTGCCCAGACATCATCAACGAGAAGGCACAAGCCCAGGGTTTCTGTTGTGCTTGATGCTCCCAGCTGATGTTAATCGATATAGCTGCTGTGACCTCAAAACCTCTTAACCACATGCAGTGGGTAAAACAGATTTGGATGTTATTTTTCTGCCCACCCTTCCCTGGGCACCAGCTGACTAGGCAGCGAGTGCATGGCGGGGAGCTCAGCCCTGCAGCATCCCTCCAGGGAGCCCCGCAGGCAGGGCAGACCCCCAGCGGCCCGTGAAACCTGTGGGTCCTCGGTGGTCCTGCCCTTTGCCAGGCAGGGCAGCAGCCCGCTCTAACAGGTTTAGCGTTGCGGTGTCACCACAGCACTTGGTTTCTCCCATGATTATCCTGATTTCATTCTTATTGGGGGTTATGGGGTCTCCGCCCATATTGTGCCTGTGGCAGACGTATTATTTAATGGTTTGCAAAATGGCAGAGTATTAAAATGTCACGGATTTGGGAAAAAAACCAACAAAAATGGTATTTGAGGCTCTGTATCAGCTGATGGGCAAAAGCCAACGCCGCCTGACAAGTGCCAGCAGACTGACGTACATCCCCGTGCTGGTTTTTGCTCATCTTGGTGCTTTTTTAAAGGAAAGATGCAGTCTACACCAACTTGCTTACTAAGGGCAGCATTTTCAAATGTGGTATTTCATTGCACTTGGGATTTTTTCCAAAATAAAATATATTATTAACATTTGGTAAAAGCTAGCTAAGAAGGTAGCACTGCAGAGAGGGATCCAAATTAAATTGATGAGAGTGAAGCAGAATCAAGTTTCAAGTCTGGAGCTGGGAGAACTGAAATCTCAGCTTTGTTTAATTAATTTTCTAATCTTGAACAGTAATAGTAAAGCTTGAACAAGATCAGATGTTCTCCATTGGTTTTTTGGGGGGGGAGGGGGGGCTGTCAAAATCTTCTCGGTTGACTCATATTTCACTTTTTTCCACTCTGTGATGGGATGCAGTGGTCCAAAAATAAAACTGAGGAGGTTCTGGGTTCCAGACAGAGTCCATCAGTTGCATAAAGCCAGAGAGATACAGACGTAGGCTCTCGTAGGGACAGCCTGGTCCTGTCGTAATTACTTTGGGTAGCAAAGCATTGTTTTATTCAGCCTCAGTTACCTCCTGGGTTGGCTATGGCTTTTTAAGAGCTGTTAATAATTGTCTTAAACTTGCCATTGTGGAAGATTAAAGCTAACAGTTGATTGCAATGTAATTCCTCTCCAGTGCTATCAGTGGTTGAAAGAGAAAATCATAAGTGAGGAAGGCAGAAAGCAGCAGGTGAAGCTGAAAGACCTGTCGCCCATCGCCGAGCGCCTCGGGTGCACGCTGCCTCAGCTGGCCGTCGGTAGGTGACGGGACGGGGGACGACCGTCCTTGCGCCTTCGCCCTTCGCTGTTGTCACAAACGCATCACCCAGCTCGCATCCTTGTAGTGCGAAGGGCAACGCTCTGAGGTGCAGACAGAATGTTTGTGCCTTACGGGCTGTTGAGAGAGGAGTGCAGGCGAAATCTTGTACAAGCCCCTAAAGCGACAGGTCCTCTGTTAGCGCTCCCATCATTTGTTTGAAGTATCAGTGATGGTTAGGTAAATGGTAACACAGATATGGATGTGTTGTCTTTCAAATAGGACAAGGACGGCTTTGTCTTTGCCTGTATCTATAGATCTATTTCTTTATTTAAAAACATTTAAATGATTATTTACTATCAGGAGTTATGGAACAAAATGCCAGAAACATGGGAAGACTGAAGATGGGCAATGGAATGCGACACCTCGCTAGGAGAAGGCCAATGCATTTCAAGGAACACAGTAAAAGAACAAAACAAAACAAAATAGGCTTTAACCTTTGGTCAGCCCTGAAATGGTCAGGCAGTTGGACTAGATGATTGTTGCAGGTCCCTTCCAACTGAAATGTTCTATTCTACTCTATTCTAAAACTTACTGTAGGGCATTAAAATGCCATGTATCTCTTTTGAGGTAACCCCTGCTCCGTTATCCTCACAAAAATAACATGGGGTGGGTTTTTTTTTTGAGCGGCAAAGATAAAAATTACTTAAAATAAGATTTTTTTTTTTTTTTTTTTTCTAGTATCATCATCAGGCTTTGATTGACAAGAGGGCTAGTGTATGTTGGGCCATTGTCAGGGGTCCAACCCTGACCTGACTGTTTCTCTGAACAGGCCCTCCCCAGGTGGAAGCCATCAGTTGTTCGGTGTGCTGGGCTGACAGACACAAGAGAATGCTACTTTTTAAAAATAAAGTTGGTTTTGTTTTGAATAATTATCTTTGTGCTGCTGAGAGCCAAAGCTGAAAAATACCACACATGTCTGTTAGAAAAATGATCCCTGGTTCAAATAGCCAAGAGGTGAATCCTTGTGATTCATGATAGGGACAAACCAAACCCCACAATTGAGACAACTGCTGGACCAGGGTCAGGTGGGATGCTGGAAGACCTGCTATATGGTTTGCTATCTATCTGACCTGTGCATCTTCTTCCTGGTAGTGGTGGAGGAGTAAAGTGAAGGTTGAGACAAATAATGTCATCATTTTTCAAATAGAGATAGACGCTCTGACAAACATTAGGATGTGGAGTAATGCTGCATCATGAAGCCTATGTTCCTGACCATCTTGTGACTTTATTCCCAGCATGGTGCCTGAGAAACGAGGGGGTGAGCTCTGTTCTTCTAGGATCTTCCAACCCAGAGCAGCTGATAGAGAACCTCGGAGCCATACAGGCAAGTGCAGGTGGTGGTGGCACCCCAGGAGAGGTGGGGGTTAGCTACTGCCCAGCTCCCTTTGCGGGTAACACCAGCATACCCCAAGACTGGCACCCTCCTTCTCTTAATATAGCTTTAATACTTCGTATTTTGTTTCAGGCATCTTCCAGTTCTAGTTACGCACGTTAATTAGGCAAACCTATGGTGTGTCACCGTGACTTACCACCGTTTGTGGTAGTTATAGCTGAATCCAGAAACGAGAGGGTGGCATCAGCAGGTTTAATGTATCTGAAAAAGCAAGTGACCTGATTCCAGGACTGGTTGTGATATATTCTGTGCCAAGTCTTCCACGGGGCACACGTCACTTGCGCCTACCTTAATTATTCTCTGTTGCTTTTCACAAGAGCTTCCTTTGATGTTCTTGCCACCACCTCGCTTTCCGCTGCAGCCAAGTAATATTGTGTGTATGAAGTTTAAGAGCACTTCTGTGATTCTCTCACAGGGTAAAGATACTACAGTAGTTTTTCCTTTAAGGGAGAAAGGTATTAGATGAATGTTTAACTATCTGTCGCACAAAAAAAGAGAGGACACGTTATTTGATAAAATCTAGATTTAAATTTGGAAAAACCTTTAATGGAAGCTTGATTAAACATCAGTTTTCTTCTACCCGTAGGTCCTTCCAAAGATGACATCCCATATCGTAAACGAAATAGATAATATTCTGGGAAATAAGCCCTACAGCAAGAAGGACTACCGATCATAATGCAATGCATGAATTACCTGGACTGCATGGTTTAAAAAGTGCTCTGTACAGAAGTACAGCCCCGAGTTACTATCCGGTCATGAGAATCATTCAGCAGCTTGCTGCTCGGTGTCTACTGTCACTGGATCCTTCGAGATGTGTGCTGTTGCTACTAATCTGCAGTGAAATTTAAAAGCACAGTTGATCTCTCTTCTAAACAAGAATAATCTTGTATTTTCTTACCTTCGACTGAATTCATTAATTTTTACTTTACTCTTAGCACCTCATGCTTGTGCTGTGAAAAACACTTGTAAAGCAAAAAATAATTTATAACCTTCAGGTACTTGGTAATCAAAGAAGGATGTACAGATCTATTTTTTCAATGAAGAAAAGCCAGATACAACTTAAGGTTTTAATAAAACCACATTTGGGAAATCTCAACTATAAAGTTTCTTCAGGTTAACAGATAGAAGGGGCAAGCTCAAATTTTCCATTTTCTTTTTTATGCTGAATATATGCTTTAGATTTAATTTGTAGTTGAATAAAGGATGTAAGACAGAGAAGTAGTTAGAAACTAGATAGCTCAACTCCTAACTATACAATTATTTCAGCTGTGGAGTGCTCCTGGGAAGTATTTTTGAGTACAAGCCAGAAGAGCACTGTTAGAAAACCCAAACATGCATGTCAGGTTAATAAAAACAACAGCTGTTTGCAAAATTCTAATTCTACTTAAACCTTAAGCCAAGAAATCCATGATAAAATACTGGGGTTTTCATCTGTAGAAACCTGCCTCTAATTCTGCCTGCTTGTAGGCATAGCTATTGCAAATTTCAATACTCATGAGCTTTTAAGGATATAGATACTTATATATAATACATAGCTGCTGAAAAATACCAGAAAAAATCAGGTACGTACTTTGGTGGAAGGTCACATTTGCTTTAACTTGTTCTGGAAGCGGGCATAAGTAAATGCATAGTATTTTTAAGACACATTTTAAACAGGTAGGTTTTTTGTAAGCATTTCATCCCTCTACAGGAGTTGATAGTAAGCACTTATATATTAATTTGCCCATCTCAAGAACCGTGTCATATTTTACCATGAGTTTGCTTTGTAAAATGCACTTATGATTTCAGTAACTATTTCTTACTGGTATTGAATCACGTACTTTGGGCACATACTTCCTAGGGGGTACAGCTATGTACAGTATTTGTAGGACCCGTGTATTCCAGTCCCCTTAACTCCAGGATATCTGCGGAGCGTGTGCAGCCTTCAGTGGGCCACGTGGACAGATACCGATACTTCAGTTGTCTTCTCCTGTATTTAATCCAATGAGCTATGGTATGTGTAAACGAACTTAGCTGCTGTATATCCAGAAATGCAGTCTGACTTTGACTTCTGCGTGGACACAATAAAAGCATTTCGTGCATCTGATTTTATACTTAGAGACCTGTTACTCATAGCGAGACCGATTTTGAAACAGCAATGGTTCACGTTGAAAATGGATATATATTGTTCCACAGGGAAACACTAATCTTCAGCTGTACCCAGGTCGGGCAAGGAACAATGACCTTGGGCCAGAGGAGTGGGTACAGCCGGGGAGCGAAGGTCTGGTCTGGTCTGGCTGCGCATCTCGGAGAAGGTACTTCTAGAAGTTAGTCTCCTAAGGTAGACATCTGTCCTAAATAACATTTTGGCCTGAAATAAACACAATGTGAATGTCCTCCTGATTGTTCACTGAAATCCCCCTGCAGTTCAGTCACCAGCCTCTCCAAAATGAGCCCGGGCTGGTCAGTCACAGCCGGCTGAGGTGGAGACCGCCACCAAAGCACTCCTCACCTCCCCGGGATTACTTTCACTGCTCTGGGCCACAGCCCCTACTTTTGCAGTATTAGCTGTGAAAATTAACTATTTTAAAATCTGCCTCACGGGCAGCACAAAGGCTTTGACCATTATACAGTTATCAGCTTTGTTATTTTAACAGTATAATTCTTTTCCCAGTAGCAGACTAGTTCCTTTTCTTACCTCTGGAAGTACAATTTAATGTTCTCTCTTCCCCTTCTCAGATACATGGGAATCAAACAACGTATTAAAAATATATTAATTCCCAACCTTTTTTTTTTTAATTGAAAATGAGATGGCGTTGTCCCTTACTTAGAGCAAAAGCTTAAACGTCAGCTTGCCTAACGCTCTGAGGCCAATGGGACGCTAAGCAGTAGTGCAGCTTTAGGCATTCATACTGAAGAAACTGGGTGCAGCTTGTAGTGGGGATTGCAAGGGAAAAAACAACCAATATCAACCTTAAAAGCAAACAAAAAATAAAAAAAAACCACCACCACCAAAAAACCCCAGCACTTTTCTCTCTCTGAAGAAGTCCACAGAAAAGACTAGGCTTTCTGTAGAAAACAACCCAACCCGCCCACCTGCTTTTGTTTCAGGCTGTCAGTGCTGCAAAGTTCTCTCTCCAGAAAAATTCTGACACACACTATGCTCCAGGCCTCAGCAACTGTCAATACCAAAAAACTAAGGTAAGATGAAAAGCTGTTAATAAAAGACTCGGCGAACTGACAGTAATAGCAGAAGAAAGCGCTGCTTCAAAATCACTTTGCTCTAGATGGCAGACTTCCTGGAAAATATGCCTGCCACTTCCTAAAATGCCCGCTAGGTCAGTCTTATCCCTATCGATGCTGCCAAGTAAAATGAGTATATTTGCGTCGTCTGCTCACATGTCTGAATTTAAAAGTACTGTGTACTTTTGGTAGGAGCCGAGCAAATCACCAGTGACCAGCAAAACAGCGACGTTCAAGTCCAGTGGCTTACAGAGCAGGCAACCTGGCCGCAGGCTTGATTCTGACCATTTATAGAAGTTTGTTAGAAATTTGTTTTACATGTGCTAAATACTTAGACTAAAATACATACATATTATATTCTTTATAAGTGATAGGCCAAGGAAAGTAAAATTACACAAGTAACATGGAAAGGCTCCTTTCAGTAGCGAATAAGCAGGCAGAAGCGATAAAGAAAAATCCACATATTTTGAAAGAAAACAATCAAGTTAATTTGAAGAATGTTAAATGACTGACTAGAAAAGTTATTTCAATGGCAGCTCTAAAGTGCACCACAACCACTGGAATTTTCATGATGTAAGCACATGAATAGTATTACCTTTACTGGGAAGCAAAGTAAATTATGCGTGGAGAGTTGAGATTGAAGACCCACATCCAACCCCAATCCCAAAGGATGCTGAAGAGAGAGGTACTGTAACAGGCAGAAGGCACTGGGTAATTAGGTAATGGTTTTGTGAGACTGTCCTGGTTGCATTTGTCAGAGACATTACAAACTCAGCATACTCTAAGGCAAGCCAGATACACTGTCTCATGCACTTCGGTGTCTTCATTTTACTATATTTTACATAAATACGAATCTTATTGAAGTAAAGATTAGCAACGTAATTATTACATTAAATCTGATTATAAGCTTTCTCTTTCTTCCCTGTTTAGGATTCTAAGTCTGTAATGGCAAAACCTGTAACTTCTACAATACGATTCCATTAATAGTAGTAGAGTTTAGCATTTAACATAACAGCTGCTTCACTGATAGCGTGAAAAAAGAAAAAGGATTGTCTGATAAACCCATTATAAAAAGCCAGCTAAAGCACTTTTGTTAAGCTGTGCCAGGAAAACTGGCAGAGTGGTTTGTTTTTTTTTTTTTATTTATGGCTTCAGAGATGAATGGAAAAAAAAAAGTACATTCAAACCACTTTAAAAGTATTTTTCTAGCAGACACTGTTTAGGTTTTGTCCTGATGCCAAGTTACTTAAAAATGCGGAGTATTTCCAATGAAAACAATACATATGCTGACTTGTAGAAGACTCCTCTCTTCTGGAAGCAGAAAGACTTGACAAACCTACACACACTGCTTGCTCATGAAAATAACCCCTTTTTTTTTTTAATTAAGAATGGAAATACAAGGAATTAAATGACAAAAAAGCCTTTTTTTTATTAAAACTTTTCAAGTTACAATGATAAATGGTGGATTGTCACTTTCTACGATCAGCAAGTTTGGCTCTTATACCAGTCACCAAACTTACAGGGAAATTCTGTTACAGGTTTGAAGTACAACTGTGTGTGCTGCTGTGCAGCAGTCCCTTACGGTGTACTTGTCTAATAGTCTGTAGTACCATCACACCTACGCAGTGCTTCAGAAAGGTTACGTTTGGTAACTGCTCACACACCATTTCCTTTCATTGCTAAGTAAAACAATTGATTAATTCAGTTATTGAATAATACTGTGTAAAGATACCAAAAGTAAATATAATTCAATAATTTTGGATTCAAACCCTCCCCCTCATACCCTCAAGCAGTCAGACTATAAAAAAAGGTATTCCTATTCCACCCTTAAACTTTTGTATGGCAGTTGAACCCTCTCACAGAAAGAAATTGCTGTGGGGTTTTTTTGTCTACTTGGATCCTGTAGATAGCAGAGCAATCAGTCCAGATGAAGCACTTAAAAAAAGAATATAGTTTC